CCCCCCCCCCGCCAGCAGCTCCCTAACCCTCTCTTGGGCCTTCCGGAAGGATGAGGGACACTGGGGGGGGGGCTTCAGGGTGCCAAGGAGAGGATGGTGGCAAGGGGCCTCAGGGTAGCAGAGGGGAGGGTCTGGCTGGAGGAAGGCTGGCGACTTGCTGAGTCAGCTCAGCTACGGCTGCCTGACCTCTGACCTGAGCCAAGAGGGGACGGTTCTGTTCAGCTCAGCTGGACAGATGTTCCCCGAACACCTGCCCACGGGCCAGCCAGGGAGCGCCGCCCACAGAACTCTCTAGAACGAAGGAATGTTCTGCATCTGTGCATCCACTGCGGAGCCACTAGCCACGTACGGCTCATGGGACCAAGGAACTGAGTGTTAAGTTTTGCAGAGGTTTAACTAATGAAGATTTAACAGCCATACGTCTATTCAAGGACATTGAAGGGGCGGCTGGTGGCTGCCACTAGGACGGCCGGACAGATAGGTGTTAGCAGCTGTGGAAACGGATGGGGAAGCAGGCGCCCTTCTTGTCCCAAGGAGACCAAGGGCTCAGGGAGAGGGAGGAAGGACACACAGACCAGCTGCCCTGGAGCCTGGCTGCTCCGGGGGTGACGCCTCCCATCCCGGCCCCCACGCTCAGCCCCGACGGCCTACCGAATGATGTTGGCCGCGGCCTTCCGCTCCTGGGTCAGCAGCTCTGGGTCGTGCATCACCTCCTCCAGGAAGCCAATCACCTTGCCCTTGAGCTCCTCGTTGGCCTCAAAGTCCTGCGGGAAGGGGCGGCAGTGGCTGTGGTGACTCCGTCTGAGCTGCCCAAAGGGGCCGTGGCCCAGCCCGAGGAAGAGGCGGCAGTGATTCCCAGTCCCGCCCGAGGATGTGCACCCTCATCTCCTTTATACGGGCACCTGGCCGGGCACCAGGGGGGCCCAGACACCTTAGGGTGGGCGCGGGGCCTCGGCCAGGGCCCTGGGAGGTGCCGATGTGCAGACCCGCCTCTGTCTCCAGAGACAGAAGCCCCTGTCCCCTCGAATGTCCTTGGCCCCTCCGGGGGCCTCAGGTGGCCGGCTGGCACCCCTGCCCCCCCACGCCTGCCGTGACTGTGTCGCCACCTGCTCCCGGGCTCAGTGCCCCTGGGGCCCCTCCCACCTGCGAGTGCTTGGACACCCAGTGGCGCAGCACGTTCAGGACACGGTTGGTGGCCGCCCTGCGGATCACGAACTCTTTGTCTCCGTTCCTCTGGTCAGGGGGAAACCCTGGTGGCAGAGGGGAGCGAGGGTCAGGAGGACAGGGGACAGAGCTCCCACTCACGTCAACTCGAACCCTAGACCTGGGCTGCTCCCCGAGTTCGGCCGGACGCTGTGACATCCCTGAGGACACAGTCCGTACCCGCCCACCTGGACCTCACTCTTTGTGCCTCGGGGGCCACTGGGAGAGCCAGGCGGCCTCTCTGGGCCAGAGCCCCCCAGGGCCCCATCTTCAGGACCGGCTTGCGCAGGTGGGAGGGGCGGTGGCCGGGGCTCCGCGGGCAGCAGGCTTCACTCTGGGTACAAGGCTGCCCACGAGCAGGGGGTCAGCAATGCCCGAGGCTGAGCCGCCAAGCTGATCTCGGGGAGGCCCTGAGCGGGGCCCCCTCCTACCTGCGCTGGCCAAGGACATCCTCCGGTACTTCTCCTTGTTCGGGGTGCCCTCGTTGGCACCCGCGGTCGCTATGGCGAAGGCGGAGGCCGCCGACAGGCCGCTGCGGCTGTTGTCCAGCTCACGGCAGGATGTCATGACGACCCCGTTGTTGTAGGAAAAGAGCGGGAACTCTGGAGAGGAAGGAGTGCCAGGGTCCCAGGGCAGGAACAGGCCCCACCTGCCCCCAGCGCTGTGCCCCTCTGCCTCCTCCTGTGGGGACGCTCAAAGTCCCGCCACCCTCTTGCTTCTGAAGGGGGTCTCCAGCCCCCCGCCGTCTCTCTGCTGTCCCAGACCCTGTCCCCGCTTCGGCCCAGCTGGGCACAGCCGCTCCAGGACAGCTGGAGGTTCTTTCCCCCATCCATTTGGCATCAACATGTAACCTGCCCCCTGTTCGTCATCAATAATCAATAGTAAAGGTGGAAGGAGGCAATATGGTGTGAAAAGCTCTGTGTCTGCCATGGGATGTCAGTGCTATTTAATAATAGCTTCTAGTAGTCACCGTGGTAGAACTGGACTCTAGAAGCCTGCGGGTTCCTCTTAGCGTCTGGGGAGCGATCGGTACTCAGGACAGAGCCGCTGCAGTGACACCGTGAGGGGCACGCTCAGCGTATTTCTTATTTTTTTTGATTAAGTATGTTTTTATTGATTTCAGAGAGAGGAAGGGAGAGGAATAGAAATAGAAACATCGATGAGAGAGAGAGAGAGAGAGAGACATCGGTGGGCGCCTCCTGCACGCCCCCGGGCGTGTGCCTTGACCGGGAATTAAACCGTAACCTCCTGGGTCATGGGTGAATGCGCGACCACTGAGCCACACCGGTCGGACTCAGCGTATTTCTGAGATTTGGCTCCCGCTGAGCTCTGCCTCGCACACCCGAGAAGCTGTGCTGCACCCGCCCTGTGCGCCCCCCAGCCACATCCTGCAGCCGGGCGACCCGTCACTTACTGGGTGTCTTCAGAAGGCCTGGGAGCCGGGGAGCTGGGATTCAGGCTGCACCTCGTGTGTGGGAACAGGGGTGGGGAAGGAGGCCCTGAGCTCGCGCCTCACCTCCGGGGTCCTCAGAGCCCCGAGTGCGGGGAGGTGCTTTATGGGAACAGGAGACCCAGACGGGTCCTCAAGGACCCTTCAGGAAGCGAGTCTGAGACTCGGGTGGGCATCGTCACAGCCCATCAGAGTCTGTTTCATTAACGGAAAAATGGGCCCTCGAGGGTGTTCCTCAGTGGTTAGAGCGTCAGCCCACATATCAAAGGGTTGAGGGTTCGATTCCTGGTCAAGGGCATGTACCTGGGCTGTGGGTTCACTCCTCGCCCCTTGGTCAGGGCCTGTGTGGGGGGCAACCAATTAATGTGTCTCTTTCACATTGATGTTTCTCTCTCCCTCCCTCCCTCCCTCCCT